AATAAATAATAAATAATAAATAAAATATTTGGTAAAGTTTATGCTATGAGTTTTGAAACATAACAAAAAAGTTGAAAAAGTACATTTCTAAGAAAACAGAAATGGTCTTCGGTTGCCTTCCTTCTTCAAAGGGACTTATGATAGAGAAAGCCAGCATCACGACAAGATAAAGATGGGTATCAAGGACTTGAGATGGGGCCCACACAGTGGGTGCCGATATTCCACAGCCCAATCCTGGGAAGCTGCACTCAGGGAAAACAGGTTCTGTCTAGTTTTTGCCTACTCATTCTCCAGGATGCTTAGTCATTTAGAAGGTACCTTTTGAGTGCCTATGACTGAGGCTCTCAGGTTATCACTGAAGTACGACCTCTGTCCCCCTAAGTCCAGGCCATTTTTCATGCCATTTAAAACTTCTTTGGGGGAACTATCTGGAGTAATGTAATAAAGGCAACCTCTGCATTCCACAATAGATACCAATAGGCTTATGAACCTCCAGGCCAGCCTGGTCTTCATAGTGAGTTCCAGACCAGCTGGGGCTACAGGGACACCCTGTCTCAAGAAGACCAAAAAAACTAATTAATTAATAAATTAATTAATTAAAGTACTTAAAATAGTGCCTGTCGCCAGGTGTGGTGGTGCATACCTTTAATCTCAGCACTCAGGAGGCAGAGGCAGGCGGATCTCTGTAAGTTCAAGGCCAGCCTGGTCTACATAGTGAGTTCCAGGACAGCTGGGGCTACAGGGAGACCCTATCTCAAAAAGACAAAAAAAAAAAAAAATAGTGCCTGTCATTAGGAAGTACTACATTTGGTTAACATTATTTTCTTTTCACATGATGAGGAGCTTGCTAACTCCCAAGGCAATTCATGCAGTCTTTGTTCAGTCCTGGGGGCCAAGTCAGCACTATCTTTTCCGTTGGGTCTCTATACTCTTATGCACAAAACTGTAAAAAAAAAAAGATTCCTTTTGGCTTTGGCTTTTTCATATATAAACCCCCAAAGGTTGAAGAGCATATACCTCCTTGCCACACGAGGGAGCCACACAGGTGCTTGGAAGCACTACTGAATCAGGAGCCTGGGTTTCAATTCAGGGTTCACCCACTGACTGACTTGTTTTGCATCCTTTGGCAAGGTACTCTCTCTGGGGCCTCAGTTTTTTCACCTGTTGAAGTATGGGTTTGCTACTGCTTATGGCCCGGGCTGGCTCTAACAAGGTAGAGAAAAGTTACTATGAGTCCTTCAGTACTCTGGTGATACGAGTCAGTGTTTGCTTAAAGTCTTTTCTCCACCCCAGGTCTGGATATTTTAATTCTTAACTTTGCCAGGGTTGATCCCAGCACTCAAGAGGCAGAGGCAGGAGGCACTCTGTGAGATCAAGGTCAGCCTGGTCTACAAATTGAATTCCAGGCCAGTTGGGACTACAGGGAGATGAAAGAAAGAAAAAGGAAAGGAGGGAGATGGGAAGAAGTATCTATTGACTGAATACTGTTGGGGGAAATAGGAAAAGCAACAAAATTTAGCCCCTAGTCAAATCTTAAGCATGTGGCAGTCCAGGCACACGGTGTGATATTTAACTTTTTGACCACTAGAGGGCGCCCCCTCCACCCAACCACATGCTACAAACCCAAAGGCCCCGCTCCTGTCAAGTTTCTGGGACTCCCCCAAAGGCTTTCTTCCCTGGTTCATGAAGACTGAAAACCTGGAGTTTGAAATCTCACTCAACTGACTTGTTTTTTCAGGTGGACTTTGTACTTTTCACTCCTACTTACCATCTCCATCTAGGCTCACATATCACCACCAGAGATCTTTCCCTGGTGCCTATACAGCCTTCTGTCAGGGTCTGTCTCGTCACCCTGACGTCTTCCCTTCATAGCCCTGAACATGACAGCATCTGAAATTGTCTAGCTGCTTTACATGTTGACTCGTTTATCCCTATCCCCAACTGAAGCATGAACATCCTTAGAACGGGGCTTGTGTCTCCTGATAGAAACAGGTTCAATGGATAAAGTAGCAAAATGCCCTGTTCAGAGAAACCTCTAACTGCAAAAGTGTAAGTACATTTGGAGATGAGAGCCTCAAGGAAGCCAGGAGGAAGATCGGCTAATTTAGGAGCAACAAAAAGAACTGATGCGGTAATTAAAAGGAGGGTTTTGAAGTGGGGATGGTGTCCTTGTTCCCACATCTCACGTCTCCCATCTCTCCACATAACGCCTCTCCTTTTTTGTTTTGCTTTTATTTTGATTTATTTATCATATTGGTTACTTTTTTTTTTTTTTTTTGGTTTTTTTGAAACAGTGTCTCCCCATAGCCCCAGCTGTCCTGGAACTCACTATGTAGACCAGGCTGGCCTTGAACTCATAGAGATCTGCCTGCCTCTGCCTCCCAAGTGCTAGGATTAAAGGCATGCGCCACCATGCCTGGCCATACTGGTTACTTTTAAAGATTATCTTTGACTAGACTCAGTATTTTTTTTTAATTTTTTAAAATTATTTTTATTTTATGTGTATGTGTGTACTGCCTGCATGTAGTTAAGTGCACCTGTAATGTGCAATGCCTGCAGAGATCAGAAGAGGTTGTTGGATCCCCTAGGACTGGAGTTATAGACAGTTGTTAGCTGCCATGTGGGTTCTGGGATTCAAACCTGGGTCTTCTGCAAGAACAACCAGTGTTCTTAACCATTGAGCCCTCTCTCCAGCCCCAGTATTTTTAAATTTTTTAAAAAATATTTTATTATTTTTATTTCATGTGTATGAGTATATTGCCTGCATGTATGTGAGTGCACCCATGTCGTGCAATGCTGTGGAGGTCAGAAGAGGGCTTCGGATTCTCCTGGAGCTGGAGTTAAGGACCGTTTGTAGCCGCCATGTGGATGCTGGGAATCGAACCTGGGTCCTCTGCAGGACCGCTGAGCCCTCTCTCCAGCCCCTATTTATATTTTACATATATAAGTGTATTGCCTGCATGTATGTAAGCACACCAGTGTCATGCAATGCCCATAGAGGACAGAAGGGGGCATTAGATTACCTGGAACTGGAGCTACAGACAGTTGTTAGCTACCATATGGGTACTGGGATTTGAACCCTGGTATTCTGTGAGAACAGTCAGTGCTCCTAACTGCTGAGCCATCTCCTCAGCCTCCTCGTTGTTTGTTTTTGAGACAGGGCCTCCTTGTAGCCACAACTGGCCTGGAACTCACTATGTGGACCAGGCTGGCCTCAATCTCACAGAGATCCGCCTGCCTATGCCTCTTGAGTGCTGGGATTAAAGGTGTGCACTACCATGCCCAGCCCAACAGATATTTCTTGACTGTGATGTATGTGCCAAGAAACTTTCTGAATTCTGGGGGTTAGATTTGTGAAACCACTATACGCATCCCTGCCTTAGATTTTTATAAACTATAGAGTTCCTTAGCCTAGTATTCTACTTTACCTCATCTTAGCCACCATCCTCATCCCCTTATTCTGAAACAAAATGGTTTTCTAACGCTCTAACAGCCAGGTATCCCTGACACAGCGCTTGTCTACTTTCCTTTCCCTGATGCACTGCTGGCCCAAGTCCCAGTTCAAATGGGAACTTAACTTGCTTCTCTGCCCCCACATAATATAAAATCCCTTGAAAGTTATTTTTCAGGAATCAATCAGTCTAGCAGTTAATATGTAAGCAGAAGACACCTACTGAATGAGTCTAAGGATTCACTTCAAAAATTATTAGGTTATAATCTGTGGTGGCACATACCTGCAACCCCAGCACTAGAGAGGATCAGAGTTTAAGGCCAGCCTAGGTTACATAGCAAGACCATCAAAAACAGAAAAACAACCAAAATATTTGTTAGCCTAATTAGTATGCATCAGATGCTGGTGAACTAATATAAATGAACACAGTCAACGTAACTAAAAATAAAAAGTAGGACCAGGTATGGTTGTGCACACCTTTAATCCCAGGGATCTCTGTGAGTTTGAGGTCAGCCTGGTCTACAAAGCAAGTATCTAGGCTAGCCAGGGATGCAGGCCGTCTCAAAATTAATAACAAGGGCCGGGCGGTGGCGCATGCCTTTAATCCCAGCACTTGGGACGCAGAGGCAGGCAGATCTCTGTGAGTTCAAGGCCAGCCTGGTCTACATAGTGAGTTCCAGGACAGCTGGGGCTACAGGGAGACCCTGTCTCAAAAAGACCAAAAAAAAAAAGAAGAAAAAAATAGTAGACTAGCATTCTAAAATCAAAATGACAACTCTGCTACTCTCTTACCCTGCTTTTCCTTTTTTTTTTCCTTTTTTTTTTCTGGTCTTTTTGAGACAGGGTCTCCCTATAGCCCCAGCTGGCCTGGATTCGCCATAGAGACCAGGCTGCCCTCGAACTCACAGAGATCGGCCTGCGTCTGCCTGCTTTTACTTTCTGTACCCATCTACAAACTTCTGAACTATTTATAGCTTACTAATTGATGTTTGTGGATCCCTTCTACTAGAATGTAGGCTCCAAGGGAGAAGAGGATTTTGTCCCTCTTGTTTTGTTTTCTGAGACAGAATCCTGCTATGTAGCACAGGCTAGCTTCAAACTCCTAATTCTTCTGCTTCAGTCTCCCCAGCACTGGCACCACAGACAGGTATGACCACGCACGACTCGATTTTGCCTACAACCTGCCCTAAGCACTTGGAACAGTGCTGGCACCTGGTAGGCTCTTGACAAACACGGACTGTACTCTAGACCTCAGCTTGTTCTTTTTCCAACGGACCTTGCGCCACCTTGCTCCAAGGGGGAAACAGGCTTCACGGGGTGCCAGAGGTGACCTCAGGAGGCCCGGCTGAGGAGTAGGAGGTCTGGGAGCACAGCCATCAAAGCAGCTGCAGAGAGGCCAGGCCTGCCCTTACGGAGCGCTTCCAGGAAGGCGGGCCCCGGGGCCGTGTGGTCGCAGAAGGCGGGGCCACGTGACTCGCAAGACAACGCCCATCTCGTTGTGGGCGTGGCGTCTGGGTGGGTGGAGTGTATGCAAATGATCGGGGCGGTGGCCAATCGTGGAGCGCGCCGAGGGTCCCCGACCCGGGACCGGACGCCGGTAGTCGCGCAGGCTCACGTCGCGGCCGCCCCTTCTTTGCGAGCGAGCTGCGGGCCTACGAAGTGCTGCAGTCGTTTGCTTGACCTCTCGACCCAGTGCGGCTGGCCGGGGGAGGCCCGGTCCGCGCGGGAGGCAGGCGGAGGTGCGGCGGAATCCCGGCCGCTGCCTTCGCAGGCGCCCGTCGCCGGCCGCGCCTTCCTAGCGAACTCCATGCATCCGGAGCCCGCCCCGCCCCCGAGCAGCAGCAACCCGGAGCTTCCCCTGAGCGGCGGTAGCAGCACCAGCGGCAGCCGCCGGAGCCGCCGCCGCAGCGGGGACGGGGAGCCCTCGGGGGCCCCGCCGCCCGCCGTCAGCTACCCGGACTGGATTGGCCAGAGCTACTCCGAGGTGATGAGCCTCAACGAGCACTCGATGCAGGCGCTGTCCTGGCGCAAGCTCTACTTGAGCCGTGCCAAGCTCAAAGCCTCCAGCCGGACCTCGGCTCTGCTCTCCGGCTTCGCCATGGTGAGCTCGGGCCGCCCTGCCCCCCTCGTATCTTCCTGCTCCGGTCGCCCCCGCCCGTAGCCTGGACGGGGCCCACTGGGGCGCAGGCTGGGCGGGCCGGGGTGAGGGGAAGAGCTGGAATAAGCCGTCGTGGGAGCAGGAGGGGCGGTCAGAGATGCTGAATGTGAGGGAGAGGTGGGTAACAGGAGATCCCCAACGGACCGGGTGGTGGTGACAAGCCGCGCACTTGGCCAGGCTCAGGTGTTTTCAGACCGGCTGCGTGGTGCAGCAAAGGGGGAAGGAACACAAAGAATGATGCTTCTTGGAAGTAGCTCTGTAAGAAGATAGATGCCCCTGAACACAAGGAGGGACACGTGTCAGGAGATGGGGGATGAGGAGACCTACCTTGTGCCCCCGCACTTGAAGCCAGAAGGTATTCCCAAGGCTCCTGCATCAAATAGTAGAGGGGATTTCCTGATACATACCACACCCCAACACCTACCCCATTTTCCAAGAGCCTTAGCCAGGGGCTTGACAACCACTCCCCACGCTCAGTTTCTTCTCCAGAAACTTGTCATTGAGTCACTGGGTGTGGGGGAGGAGGGTGGGACATGTTCCCCTTGAACAGGCTCTTGTGATTAGAAGGTAGGCATATTTTCCTCCTTTTGGGTCCCAAGAAGGTGGTAATAGAAGCCTGGTGAGGGTGGCACTAGGGGAGGGTGGCACTTAGATCCCAGAAGTAACTATGGAAATACCTTTGGGTCTAGCTCTTGGAGTTTCTCTGGAGCAGGGTACTACATAACAACTACATTATTATCACCGGGTGATATCAGCCTTCATCAATGGAGTCTGCTCCCCTGTCCCCAGCACTCTTGCCTCCACCATGAATTAGCTAAGCCCCTTGGCCTTGAGGAAGGGAGTGGCTGGCACTCTTGGTGTTTTGAGAAGGGAGTGTGTCTGGATCTCCCCTGTCTTCTGCAAACAAGTGGGCCAGTGCAACAGTGAACCTGAATGTTTTAGAGGCCCATAGTGCACTGGGCCACAAAAGGAAGGCCAGGAATAGGAGGGATGGGAGAGCACACCTCCCAGCTCTGCCACTTGTCTGTGTGACCTCAGGCAAATCACACTCTCTGTACCTCGATTTCTAAAATGGTAAATGAAGTCTGCTCTTCAAAAGATACCCTGTCTTTGAAAATGAAATTGAAGAAGCCTCTAAAGAGAAGGTCAGAGAGAGATCAGAGACAGAGTGGTGATGCATACCTACAATCACAGCACTCAGAAGGCAGAGGCAGGAGAATCACCTATGAGTTCAAGGTCAACCTGGTCTATATAGTGGGTTCCAGCGAGAACCACAAACTACATAAGAAGAGAGAGAGAATATGAATATGAGAGGCGGCTCTCTAGTTTTATTTTAGGAAGAAATGATAAAACTATTCTGCGCTTCCTAAGACTAGTCTCTGCTTTGTTCTTAGAGTCTCTTGGGGCTGGAGAGATGGCTCAGTGTTTAAGAGCACTGGCTGCTCTTGCAGAGGAACAGAGTTTGTTTCCCAGCACCCTCATGGCAGCTAGGAACTGTCCTTAACTCCAGTTCCAGGAGATCTTACGTGCTCTTCTGGCCTTCATAGGCATTGCTTACACATGGTGTGTTCACATACATTCAGGCAAACATTCTTACACATAAAATATTTTGCCACGCTTTTAATCCCAGCACTTAGGCAGAGGCAGGTGGATCTCTGAGTTCGAGGCCAGACTGGTCTACATACCAGTTCCAGGCTAGCTGGAGCTACAGGGAGACCCTATCTAAAAATAAATAATAAAATAGAATAAAAATTTTAAGAAAATCTCTAATCAACAGCTGACATTTTTACCAAACAGTCACCTTGTGCCATGCACTATGCAGGTTCACTTGTTCCCCCAACAGTCCTGTTTTTGTCAAGGGACTTTGCCAAGGTCACACAACTAGGCTGGTGGAGCAGAACTTGAAACTAGGTCTGCTGGCAACTAGAACTTACTTAGGCCCTTGTGCCACTTGATATGGTGTATGGTGCTCTGATCAGTCAGTGTCCAGCCAGGGACAGGTAGGACTAGGCCTAGGGAAATGAGAAATAAAGCCAGTTTCTCTTGAAGCTAAAGAAAGTTTTATACCTTGTGGGGAAGAGAAGCCACCAGTTGTGTGCTCTTCCTGAGTGGTCTGGGATCCCTTTCCCTTGGGCTCATAAATCAGCCTCCCAGACCCCTTCTCACTCCAGGAGAGGGGAGAGTCAGAGAGCTGACACTTCTACCTTCTCACTTTAATCATTTAATGCTATAAGAACACAGGCCTTCTTCCTCCTCCTAAAAACAGTGGAGGAAGTAGGAAGGCTGGGACACCTAATAACCTCGAGTGGGCTTAGGCTAACCCACACTGCCCATTTGGGACCTTTGTTTTCCTCAGTCTGGATGGAGTAGGCCTTTCAGCTCCACCAATGGCATATTTTAAATGATGCAGGCTAGGAAGGGTTGACACCCCCCACCCCAGGACAGCCTCCATTCTGGGCAGCAGTTACAAGAGGGTAACTAAGTGTATTTGCTAAGAAGCTGGAATTCCAAGAGATCTAGATGCATGGTCTGAGGTCTGACCATGCCCCACCCCGCTGCCAACACTCAGACCTTGAGTGAGCCTCAGAGAGGAAGGGGTACCAGGCCACCCTGATGCCATGGTAACAGAGTGACAAGTTTCCTGAATTACTCTCCCTTGGCTTGTGAGTCAGCAAAACCAGCTTCCTGCCCCCAGAGGGCTTCCTTCCTACAGACCTGGAAAACTGGAAGCGCCCACATGACCTTTGATCTCCAGGATAAGGAGAGTTTCCTAGAATACCAAATTTACCTACTGATCCGCAGGTGATGTTACCAAAAACCCTGGTAAGGATTGAGAGTATCTCAGCTTCATGGTGCAAAGACTTGGGCCAGGTGCCTGCAACATGCTAAGGATAGGCCTCTTTGAACTTAGTTTTTTTATGTGTACAGAAGTGGGATTATCCTAATTTCCCATTAACTTTTGTGAAGATTCATTACAAGGCCAAACTGGAGCTGTGAAGGGCTGAGGAATTTCAGGTTCTGATGATGTTCCTGCCCATCTGTGGTCTGCAGATAAGAGTTTTGCCTTGACAGCACTTCTACAGCCAGGCTTAGGGAACCTGGATATAGCAAACAAGCTGCATCTTGCAGTGCTCCTGGTGCTGAGGGTATCCTTGGAGACCTTGCTTTATACTGTCTGTACCTCAGCCGTAGGCAGTCAATCTGGGCCTGACCCTGTCCCCCGTAGGACTGTGGTGAGCATGCATGGCAGTCCTGTTCGCTGAGGAGGGCGGGCCGTAATGTTCGCCTAAGCAGAAGATAATTGGGAAGGTCAGTCTTCTGCTGTAAACAAAATGCTTTCCATGACCTGGGATCAATTATTTTTGGATTATCTGCCTCCTCAAGTTCTGCCGCCAGCCTTCTTTTGTTCCAGGTTCCAGAGCAGGTTCAGAAGTTGGCTGAGAGTTCTGTGAAAATGAGTTGGAAGAAAGTGCTTAAGTCATGAGATATTTTGAGTGTTTATGACCTACTCAGAGATCAAGGAGCCTGGAGATGAGCAAAAAGCTACTATTACTGCTTGGTACTAGGGATCCTTTCTGGGGATTGCACTAGGTCAACCAGAGTGCAGAGTGCTCTAGGAGTATCATCATGTCTTCTTCCTACAAGCACAGTTGTCTGGGGTCGGGGTCCCATGGCTGGGAAGCTGCAGTAGCCCTATGACTGGCATAGGGAGAAAGTGAGCATCAGAGAGTGGTAAGAGGCAGAGCTGAGAAGCTATAATACAGCAGAGTAGGAGCAAGGACTGCAGCCATTCCACAATCCCAGCTAAGCCTCGGTTTCCTTGTCTGTAAAAATGGGGTAATAAGAACACTGACCTCCTTGATGTGAGGGTTCATTGGGTGTTTGTCAACCATTTATAATACCTGCCTAGGTATTTAGGAGACTTGTTTACTCTAGTTTCCATGGTGTTGGGACTGCTTTCTGAGGATTAGCTGAGTTAGAAGAATGTAATTCCAGCTAAGCCTTGAGGATAATGGAGTGGAGTTAGGTTTGGAGAAGAGCCTGTGACTAGAGAAACTGGCAGGAGCAGGTACAGGGATAAATTAGAGGGTCTGGGGAAAGAGGAGTCTGGTGTGACTGACATTGTGCCACACATCAGAGCCCTATGGTAGAGGGTCTTGATTGGCTGTTCAGGAAACATTTACTCTTATGTAGGCAATAGGGAGCTATCAAAAGTTACAGTCAGAGAAATGGCATGAATTCTGTAATAGTGATGGTAAAGGTGGTTGCTACTTAACTCCTGTTGTGTCAGGCATGAACTTGGGCTCTTTTTTTTTTTTAATTATTTTTATTTTATGTGTATGAGTGTATTGCCTGCATGTAGGTAAGTACACCCATGTAATGCAATGCCTGCAGAGGACAGAAGAGGCTGTTGGATCCCCTGGAACTGGAGTTACAGACTGTTGTTAGCTGCCATGTGGTATTGGGATTCGAACCTGGGTCTTCTGCAAGAACATTGTGTTCTTAACCGCTGAGCCATCTCTCCAGCCCCAACCCTCACAATAGCTCTTAATATATGAGATTGACACAGGAAAACTAGGGCTCCTGGCTTAGATCACCAGGTGGTAGGGCTCAAGCTTGGTGTCTAACTTAGAGCCTTTTTCCTTCCTTTTGCCCCCACTCTCTTAGCCGGTTGATAACTGGGTCTTTGCAGTCTGCCAGGTGTCCACTTCTGCATTTGAAATTTGTGTGCTGGACTGAGTATAAATGGAACTTTGCTGAATGTCCCAAGAGGAGAGTACTGTCTGTCTTGCTGAATGTCCTAAGAGGAGGGTACTGTCTGCCCAGCAGAGAAGCCTTTTGTGAAACTTTGCAAGTGCCTGCGGCATGTTTCTGGAATTCTCAGCTGGGAACAGTGAGGAACCCTCCCCTTGCTGGGTCCCTGGCTGGTAAGGAAACACTTT